CAGGATCCTGAACTCTACCATCTCATGGTCACTGCTGCCCAGGTTGCCACCCCCCACCAATTCTTCCCTATTTGTGAGCAGCAGGTCAAGAGGAGCACGGCCCCTAGTTGGTTCCTCCCAGTACTTGCACCTGGAAGTTGTCCCCACTCTCCAAAAACTTCCTGGATTATCTGTGCACTGCTGTATTGCTCTCCCAGCAGATGTCAGGGTGATTGAAGTCCCCCATGAGAACCAGGCCCTGTGATCTGGAAACTTCTGTTAGTTGTCCAAAGAAAGCCTCGTCTACCTCCTCCTCCTGGTCTAGTGGTCTATAGCAGATGCCCACCCTTGTTGCTCTGAGCTCTAAACTTAACCCAAAGACTCTCAACAGGCTTTTCTCCAGTTTCATACTGGAGCTTTGGGCAATCATACTGCTCTCTTACATATAGTGCAACTCCTACACCTTTTCTCCCCGGCCTTTCCTTCCTGAACGGTTATACCCACCCATGACCGTGTCCAGACATGTTTGCTTCTCATCCAACATTTCTCTAAGCTGTTCTGTTCTCTGTTCAGAGTTTCAGTAGCTTATTTCTATAGCACAGTTTAAGTATCTTATCCTTAAGTTTGTTTTGCCTATACAGGTGAGTCTCATCTTACGCGGGGGTTCCGTTCCGCGGTTAGCGCGTAAAGCAAAAACCACGTATAGTCAAAATTACATTGAGTTGAATGGCAGGCGGAATCGCCCACACTACAGGTACAGTATTAAAATTGTTATTTTGCTATCTTTTTTTTGTTTTTGCCAACCGCATAAAGCTGAAATCGCGCATGTTAAATGCGCGTAAGATGCGACAGACCTGTAATGGGCATATAAATATTTTGTAGTCCAAATAAAATAATTCTATTTTAAGTACAATCGTCTTGATTCTAAACAGGACACAAAATGTACAATAATTACAATTCATGTATTACTTAAAAAAACATGACTTAGGCAAGATCTATGCTAATATCACTGCAGTGGCCATGTCACGTAATTCAAGCACAAAACTACCACAATGCAATTCATTTTCACCTAAAAGATAAGCCTCAACAGAATAGTTTCAGAGTATGAAGTTTAAGAAAGAAGATTTACTCTAGCTAATACTGTGGAGAAGACTGACATGTCTAGAGTTACTCTATTTTTATTAGTGTGAGAAAATATATTTTTTATTGGCACTGAATTTCAAAAGGTGAAGCCCAACTTGTTTTGAGCTCAAGTGAGTTCATTGGTACTTCAGTGGTTGGCTTTGATTTTAAACATTTGGACTTTTAATTCGAAGTGAATGAAAAATCTGTTTCATAATATTTAACGTTTGTCTGAACAAACAGCAATATCTAAGAGTTTTACTTCTACACAAAGTATGCATCATTTTTTATTTTACAACAAAAGGTGGCCCAGTTACAATCTTAGAGAGCAAGCAGGAGGTCTCCGTATTGGCTGGGAAGGTTTAGGAGGCTAAAATGGACAGATTTTCAGCACGCTGTCTGCAACACGGAGCACCCTCATTCTCATTGATAGTTTTACAAGAGAATATGACAGTACAATCTGGGGTTCACATTTGTTTTAATGTAACCAACTCTGGTTCCTACTGAGTTTACTAAAGACACATTATGCCAGATCTTTTAAACTAGGTTTGTGGTTTCTATTAATGTAAATAACTTCAAATTTATCATATTCTTAGAAGATTAATATAGTGAATAAGTTGATAAAAGGAATATCGAAGGGTTAAAGTCAATCATCTGAAAACCATACTGCTCCATTTTTTTTTAAAACCTGCTACAGTTACAACCATCACCTACCAAGATGACTACAATAGAAGATAGAATTTTTAGTTTTAGCCTGCATTTGATAAGAGTATTCTGAGTTTCATTGTTCCCCTTCTTGCTTGTTGAGGTTAAAAACAGGAAAGCACGATATAAAGCCACAAAACCTTGGCAAGGGACAACAGAACAGGTATAATGACAACATTTTTAATTGACTAGATTTCAATTTGATGTGTCCTTTTAACACTGCAAGTGCACACACATTTAACAATAGCCAGTCCAGTTTCTGACATTTACGTCAGATGCCTTGCTCATTTCCAATAAATATTCTAGCTGCCAAGAAGATCACTATCTTGCATTAGTTTGTTGTAGCAACATTACAATAATAATTGAGAGAAAGTTACTTGAATTTCTGGTAAGTAAAAGCTGGGTTTTAGAATTTTAAGGTCAAGAATTCTCAAATCTTAAACTGGTTATCCACACTTCAAGCAGATCACATTTATAAAGACTACCCTTAATGAATCTTAACTCTAACTATAGAAATCTGGGCAAATTCTGATAGCTAAAGAGTTTAATGGTTGACTGATAATTTCCTAATACAGTATTGACAAATACAAGATAATGCTTCTACCGGCATACAGTAAAGGTAGATTTAGGGCCCAACTATGGGGCCAATACCTGTGTCAGATTAGGAAAAACAGTACTGTACCATTACTAGATCCAATTAAAGAAATATATAGACAGAGTGCCCTCCTGTTACTTTACTCCAATGGGGCTGGGTGGATTTGGATTAGTCTGTGTTTTGCCAAGAATTTTAGTTAACAGCAACTCCATAGAGTCCATTTTTAGTGGAGGAAAATGCAGTAAGTTATTTCAAATGTGTGGAAGTTTACTAGGCACTAGGACTTCAGTTAAACTATGGCTATTAAGAAAATAGGAGAGACAACACAGATCTTACAAATAATGAATTTTGATAGTATAGCTTTTAATGGCAGGCATCTTCTGAAGTTGATAGTCCTGAAGATAATTTGGCTCAAACGCCAATCTAATCAGTTTGCAGACTTCAAAGGGAAATTTAAATTGGCTTCAGTTGCAGTTTAGTTAACCGAGCTTGAGGTAAAAATTCAAATACAAGCAAACAAATTTGGAAACAAAGTTACAGGTAGAAGAAAAACAAAATGCAATCTATAGCTTATACTTGTTAATAAATTACTTTCCTGTCTAATAAAGTATTTCTCACCCCAAGGTTATCCTTTGTAGAGCTTGGCAAGTCCAAAGAATTGGGATCCACTTTTCATGGGACACCCCCCCCGCCTGCCCTACTGACAGTCTTCTTGTCCTCTTTCTTTTATACAATTACAGACTCATGTCATTCAATTCAGGGGTCCCTATTCAGAGACTTTTAATGGGGTTCTTTTTGTCCTTGTAAACTCTGAACCCTGCATCTGGCCCAGACTGTAAACACAAACTGGCTCAGTTGACAGATGTCCATTGTTCTTATGTTAATTGGGTTAGCTCTCAGATTTCCTCTCTTCAGGTGACAGGTTTCACTCCCATCAGATTTGGAATATAATCTCCTACACGTTGGATAACTCAAATTGTTTCCCAATCAAACATATTGCAATAACCATGACAATTAGTAGTTCTTAGCTTTCAGCAGAGACCACATATGACTCCCTTTGGTGAAATATTGAGAAGGTTGTCAGATACAGGGTAATATACTTGTCTGGGTCTTCTGTGTCACATTGACCCCTTCACCTTACTCTAAAAGTGATCAGGAAAGATGCTTACCCTTTACACAGAAGCTGAACAATGTCACAGAATATTCCTGCTTCCATTAGCTGAAATAATAAATTGAATCACTTGAATCTAGGTTTTTTGTACAAGAGCAAACCATGTTTAAAGGGTCCTTAAGCGTTGACTGGATTGCTCGTCAAATGTAACACCATCCTTACATGCTACGAAAACAAGTCTTTTTAAAGTAAGGGCTATGGGGCCAAGTATCCAAATAGAAAATATTTACAATAAATTTTAGCTTTTGACTGGCTGATACCAGGGGTGTCATTAAGAGTTGCAAAGACAGCTCTGTAGTTTCAAAGCAGAAGAAAGCAGGGCTATGGCAGTGACCCAATGATCTATATATATGCATGTTATTTGCAGAAGGTTTTCAAGATAGTAGATAGGAGATAGTACAGTGTATATATTGGATGTAATAATTTGAACTAGTTGTACACAACTTATTGTCAAGTAAATTAAGTCACTAGAAGATATCTGCAAATTATGGTAAACAGAATAATGAACACCTGCTCAATGCAGGTGGTCAATAATGTTAGGATACATTAGCAAGGGACAGTTTAATGGTATTGACATATATTGAGTATGATTAATTGGAGGCCTTCAATTAACACTGAGAAGGCATTGAAGGCAAAGAACCTCATCTTGGATACTGTTTTTAATTGTAGTCATGTCTTAAAGGTTCTATTAGAAAAAAGGCCCAGAGAAGGGTAACAAATGCTGACAGCCTACATTTCTATGAAGACTTCCCCCATAGGAAGAGAGATACACAATACTACATATATATAGTTTAGAGATGAAACAAAAGGTGATAAGTGTACAAAAAATGAATGCTATAGAAAAAAAAAGAAAGCACTCCTACTGGAAGGTTCCTATGGGTTCATCTACACCAGTGCTTAATATGTAATGAAAGATGCCGGAGCTCAAGCAAATTTTTTTTTTTAAACTTTCGTAACTGCCATGGCAAGCCCACTGATGCCAGAGCTCTGAACTGCCAAGTCTAGAGTGCTGGGGCTCAGCCCTGACACATGTTAACACTGATCTACACAGCAAAAGACCCTGTGCAAGTGAGTCTCAGAGCCTGGGTCAAGTAACTCAAGCTCACTCTTTTGGGCTAAAAATAGCAGTGTAGGCTTTTGGGCTTGGGCTGGAGCCTGGGCTCAGAGACCTTCTTCCCTAGCTAGGTCTCAGAGCTCAAAACACCTACATTATTATTTTTAGCCCAACAGCATAAGCCTCAGCCACTTCACCTGGGTTCCAAGACTTGCTGCCACTGGGTTTTGTGGGGTTTTTTTTGGCTGCATAGATTCACCAGATGACTCAAATGAAGACTTGTTATGTGTACAAATTAAATATCCAGAGGCCCTGCCAGATTCAGAAGACAGCACCAAATTCAAGCAAAGACTACTGCATTTGGATAGCCTTACCTCAGACTGTAGGTGCTGGATCACAACTGTTAATGCTTCAAACTTCTGGTTACTGCTTGCCAAGAATTTCTTCAAATGCAGGATAATTTCACTTTGGTTCTCACATTTTGCTTTGTATTGTGCCAACTCACGTGTTTTTGTTTCAGTTGAATGCACAGCTGGAGAGGTTTGTGTGTGTATGCATGAACTTTTAGGACTCCTCTGCTTGCCTCTCTCAACTGGAATAAAAACAAAAAACAAAACAAAAAGACATTCTAATTAAACTATTCACTTCTGAAGTTTTACTAGCTACCAAAGCTGGAAGTCAAAACACAAAGGAAATAGAAACAAATATTTTAAAAAACATTTCCTGAACCACTTTGATTGGGTCAAAAGGGTTACTTTTTAATGGCATTATGGTCTTGAGGATAAGGGTCTGTACAACAGCTTCAGCGTTCTCATACCACAAAAGCCATATACAACTCAAATTGCTCTTGATTATGCATTTACATTTGTTCATTAAGTGCATTTTAGCTAACTCTTTACACTGCAATTTTGAGTAGCATTTTGAAAGAACTGAAGTGGTTCTTTAGTTCTAAAGCTTTTCCTCACCTCTAAGTTTATCCAGTGAATAGTCTAATTTTCATACATTAAATGTCATCTATTTTCCAGGTCTGCAACAATTTCACATTTCCTGAACTGGAAGTTACTAAATATATTAAAGCATTCTCCCTACATGTATTTGATCCCTTTCATACTTTAATTTCCACTGCAAGATTCCACCATCTTCAGTTCACATTTACCTTTTATTAGCCAAACCTGGAGCACTTTTCTTAGTACTAATAACGTCTGTCATGGATCAAATACTTACTAAAGCTGTCAAACATCCAATACACTTTAAGCTTCCCCTATCCCTTTATGCACAGCCTGAGGATTACCTACTTTAATATTGTAACGTGGCAAATTCTGACACTTAACAGCACTAGTGTGACAGGTTCCCCCCCACCGCCCCAACCTTGGGGTGCTGCCTGGAACTGGGATACCACTGAGCCCATATGACCCACCAGCTTGGGCTCCCTTTACAGTGTACTGCTGCGACAGGCCCACAAGCCCCCTTCCAGCACACACACAGGTAGGGAGACACCCAGGTGCAGCTCTACACACAGATGCTGTGATCAGCTCTGCATGGGAAGGCTCAACTAAGGAACTGCCACGTACTCAAGTGCACACCCCCCTTTGGAGGGCAAACCCAAAATTATACAATCTTGCACTGCACAGAGAACTGTACAGCGTGAGCTCATGAAATTCGCTCTCCCCCTCAATGTGGAGAGGAATATATATAGCTTTCTGCCCCAAGTAATGATTTCCACACACTGGTTTTAGACAAAACAAAACAAGTTTATTAACTACAAAAGATAGATTTTAAGTAATTATATGGGATAGAAAACAGATCAAAGAAGATTACTTAGCAAATAAAACAAAAACTCAATCTAAGCTTAATATACTAAAGAAACTGGATATGAGTAGCAAATTCTCACCCTAATTGTTGTTTTAGTCAGTTTGCAGAGATTCTTGATGGCAAGCTGAACTTGCTTGCAGTTTAAAACCCCAGATATACCTTTCACCGATTAGAAATCCCTCCAGCCTGGGTTCAGCCCTTCTCCCCAAGTTTAGACCTTGTTTCTCAGACGTTTCCAAGTGTGTCCTTTGGGCGGAGTTAGTAAAGAACCCAGGATGATGTCACTCCCCTGCCTTAAATAGCTTTTGCATATGGCGGGAACCCTTTTTTCTCCAACTCCGTTCCCATGCCTTTTAGTGGAAAAACACAAGTATTCTATGATAGAGTCCAGTACCAGGTGACTTGGTCACATGATCCCATAGTGTCATAGCAGTCATGAGTCAGAGGCTGTTTGTAGCATCCTCAGGAAGGCTCCTGAGGATGCTACAAATCGGGACATCTGGTCACCTTAACTGCCATTGCACTTAACTTCTGATGATTAAACACTGCAGACTGTTCCAGATCTCACAAGCAACGTTATCAGATAGGGTCATCCTCAATTATGTAGACCGCTGTGCTCATCTGTCAACATACAAGGAATTGGATATTTTCTTAAACTGCACCCATCTGGTCAGTGCATATTGGCTAGAGCTTCAAATACCTATATCTCTGGGAAAAGTGCATTGCACACATTTGGGACAGTCCTCAGTTGAGAACTCTTCCTAGCCTCAGAGATCTACCTTGTGCCAATGACCAGGATATGCGCAATTGTGCCAGTAGTCAGAGCTGGAGTTGGTAATCAGGAACCAGAGCCAAGGGTCAGAATCTGGTTACCTGGAGTGCAGTGGGGCAGGGGAAGGGTTGGGGCACCAAGACAAGGACAGGAGCTATTGTAGCCACACAAGCAAATACTTAGAGCAGCCACTGAACTGCAGCAGCTGGGCTTAAGAGCCTGTCTGCTCACTCTTCCAACCAAACAGGAGGTGTAGCCTATTAGGAAGCATACTACAGACCAGCTCCTTGGGTTGCCTGGAGACTGGCTCTGCTGAAGACTCGGGTTCCTGACACCCTGGGGCTCTATAATAGAATTGTCTGGCTGAATGAATGCAGCTGCCATTCAGCTGAATCAGAGCCAGACCCACCTCTTTGTGAAAGCCTTTTTTTTTTTTTTTATTTAGGAACTGGTTCCCCTGACTCCACTGGGAGTCTGACCAATCTGATATGAAGTTGCGCAGGAGGAGAAAATGAAGAACTATTCTATCAGTAGGGTGTATCCCATATACTTGTTACATTTAAGAGCCTAGGTATAACAAGGAATGTAAGCACTCCTGTAAAGTCTTACCTGAGCTACTTCGGAGAGGCTTGGTCCATATGTTTTTTTTAACAAAACATTCAATCCTGACAACCATTTGAACTTCTACATCTGTGCACTTGGTTGCTGAATAGCAACTGAAATTCTTCCCCTATGAATAACTAAGCTTTGCCACATCCCAAAGCTTATCCCCTTGAGAATTTCTACTGTTTTCTTGAGTTTATAGAACTAAACCAGAACCTTTTGCTTTACCCCAAGTGACTTTATTGGTATGTCAACATTGCAACAATACCCACAGCTGGCCCATGCCAGATCACTCAGGCTCACAGGGATCAGGTTGCAGGGCTGTAAAATTGCAGTGGAGACATTCTGGCTTGATCTGGGACCCACCCTTCCGTGCAAGATCCCAGCTCCTAAATGCTGGGACCCCATGAGGGGTGAGAGTTCTAGAGCCCGGGCTTCAGCCAAGCCCAAATGCGTACACTGCAATTTTATAGCCCCGCAGCCCCAGAGTCAGCTGACACAGGCCAGCTGCAGATGTTTTATTGCAGTGTAGACGTACCCTATGAGTAAGGATATGGATTTAGTCACAGAAATCACTGATTCCATGACTTTAACAGACCTCCGTGACTTCAACCCCGTGGAGGTGGGGCTCCGAGCTATTGGCCCACCTCGTGGCGTCAGGGCTCCAGCCCCATGCCAGGGGGCTTGGGCTTCTGTTGCTTATTGCCCATGTCCTGCTTGTGACTTTTACTAAAAATACCTGTGACAAAATCTTAACCTTACCTCTGAGTACATACTAATGCCCTTCTACTTTAAACTGAGGTTATTTTCCTTAGAAAAAGATTTTTAAATATGAATGATAGAATTTCTAAAAAAAGTGTTCCAAACAAGGCTAAATAAGAAAGAATTGGAGCAGAAACAATCAAACCGTTCACCTCCAAGCTTTGTAATTCGAGGATCAGTTACGTTTTTTCTTACCCCAAGCCATCCTCTTTTCACGTTCCTTCACCAAACTGTTAGCTTCTAGAGTGGTTTGAAGACTAACTTCCTCATTCAAGCATTCATTGTTATCCTTAAGTCCTTGCTTCTGATCCTCTCTGTTAGCAAGATCCAGGCTGGTCAAAGCTTTCTGGCTTTTTTCCATTTTCTGGAAAACTTTAACAACATTGGTCAAATTGCTGCTAATTCCTTCAATCAGATATACCAGATCAGCCTGGGCATTTAACTGAACTTCCATTTCTTTCCTCACCGTCTGGATCTCCTCAACTACAGTTTTTAATTCCAATTGACTGGATTTAATCTCTGCTTTGAAGTCATCTTTCATCTGTTGCTGGCTCCTCTGTGCATCAAGAACTGTTCTGATTTCCTTTCGGGAAATTTCCATGCCATTTCTTAATTCCTTTTGGCCGGCTTTCATTGCCTCCTGGCTAGCTTTAATTTCTGCCATCATGGCAGCTTAACTCTCTATCTCTGCTCCAGCAGGAGCCACAGATGTCTTCCTGGATATATTACTCCACAGTGACAACAGCTGTCACAGGGTCCAAGCCATCAGGAAGGTTTGCACACCAGCAGCTAGTTACCACTTATGTGGAGAAGTAAGCAGGTAGCCCTCTGGTGAAGTATCCTATTTCAGGTTACAGTCAGTACACTTGACTAAAGACACTAGATAGAAGCAGAGCACACCTTACAGAGCTCTGTGGAATAGTTCAGTCCCAAATTTCAACAAGAGTATTGGTTAGTGTAACAACCGCCTGATTTTGCCACACCCAACCTATTAAATCCTTTGCTGTCATCCACATATGTGGGATGTCACTCGGAAAGTCACTCCCAACAGTCATTTGTTCCAGCTGTCCATCGAAAGCACCAGTGGGAGTTGTTGCCAATATGTTTGGCTTTGCAACACAAGAGGCATCCATAAGAACTCAAAAACCCTTTCTCTTCAAGGGAAGGGCTCAAATAATAATTAATGGAGATATCCCATCTCCTAGAACTGGAAGGGACCTTGAAAGGTCATCGAGTCCAGCCCCTGCCTTCACTAGCAGGACCAAGTACTGATTTTGCCCCAGATCCCCAAGTGGCCCCCCTCAAGGATTGAACTCACAACCCTGGGTTTAGTAGGCCAATGCTCAAACTACTGAGCTATCCCTCCCCCCTTTAAGTGCACATAAAAGTTTGAAATCACTTATTTCTCAGTTAATGGCCTCAATACTATGCTGAACTGGGTGGCTCTGTAGTGTCCTTCTGGTGATGTTCCTAATTAGATGTTAACGAATAAATCCATGAGTGCCTTTGCCACAAACACCATCACTACAACTAGTACTGCCTTTGGACAGTCTCAAGAAGACCACATACTAACTGATAATGGAATATCAGTTATCTTCATCCCTGAGCTAAATTCTCTAGTTCACAGTTGAGGACCAGTGGCA